TAGGAGGGACACGGAAAGACCCAACCCTGTTTTCATCATCCATTGATGATGCTGGACCACCACTGGGTGGGCCTTTGCCTCACTTCCCTTATTTGGAATGTTTAATAGATGTTTGTTAATAATGGAATAAGACTGTCACATTTCACAGCTCACAATGAACTGTCAAGTTCATACTTACACAAGGAACAGGAAGCACAACACACACACACCCACACACACAGAGACACACACACACCATGGAGGGTGACAGCTGGCATTGTCTGATATTTTTTATGTGCATTGGTGTTTTGTATATGTATCTATGTGAGGATGTCAGATCCCCGGAATTAGAGTCATAGGCAGGTGTGAGCCACCGTGTGGGTGCTGGGAATTGAACTCAGGACCTTTGGAAAATTAGCCAGTGCTCTTAACTGCTGAACCATCTCCCCAGCCCGCACACTGTCTAATTCTTAAGGTTTGCACACCATCCAAAATCTATTTAAGTGCCAAAAGCTTGCAATTCCAGATCTTCCCAGGGTCAAGTAAAAAAGACATCACCTTTAAGATCTACAGCAGGTGCCCTGATGGGTGCCAAGCTCATCTCCTCTATTCAGGTCTCTTCTACACAGCTCTGTGTCCTACGGCATGAGGTTACTCCCGCTTTCTCCCAGACCCAAGGCCCATGAGCTGAACTTGCTTTTCTATGCCCTCCCAAAGAGCACCCATGCCCTGCTGGATGTCCGGCTGGACAGTGTCCATGTCCTGCACAAGATGGACATTTTCCCCATCATCATCCATGTTTCTGTCAATGAGAAGATGGCAAAGAAACTCAGGTGGGTGCTTGCTGAGGGCTGGTCAGTGGTGCTGGGCAGCAGGGTCTCAGCAGACACCCAAGCTCTGGAAAAACTTGGCATGTGCCTCTGGAACATAGTAGAGCTCTATCAATCCCAGCCCATAGTTGTGTTCCCACAGCCTCTGGCCAGAGGTCCAGCTTCAGAACCTGTGTATCCCCTGCCCAGCTAGACTGAAGCTGCTCAGTGCCTGGATCCCCCTGCCCCCTCATCACTTGGTATCTGATGGGGACAAACAAATCCTGCTGCCCATTTGCTCAGGAAGTGTGATGTGCTCTACACACCCATTGGTGGATGTCACTTGCAGCCAAGTCCCGACATCTTTATGAGCTTCCCTGGGTAGGACTCCATGCTTATGCCCAATGGCATTTTGATGCACACTGAGTTCTCAACAGACTCTGTCCTGGACCCTGGCAGTGCTCTGTACTGAAAAGTCTCATTGTGCACTTTGCTGGCTACCTTGCTGTCCTCATGCTGACCACCTGTGCTTTTCAGGAAGGGCCTGCAGCGGCTTGGCACCTCGGAGGAGCAGTTCCTCGAGGCGGCCCGGCAGGAGGAGGGGGAACTGGACAGAGTGCCCTGTCTGTACAGCAGCCTGGCCCCTGACAGCTGGAGTGACCCGGACAGTCTGCTCGGCTGTGTGCGCCTGGCCATTGCAGATGAGCAGAAGAGAGTGGTGTGGACAGAGCAGAGCCCCTGCTGAAGCCTGGACCTGGCTTGGGACTGTGGTGGCCTCCATGTGTCTGTCGGCGCTGTCAGCAAACAACCCCACTTCCTTCTCTGGTCGGGGTCTGACCTCACGAGCTCACAGCTGTCAGAGGATAAATGATGCAGCCGCTGTCACACAGCATGGCCTGGGCTGATGGAGGACTTAACAATGATGCAGCCGCCATCACACAGCACGGCCTGGGCTGATGGAGGACTTAAGATCATTCTGCAGCCACCGTCACACAGCACGGCCTGAGCTGATGGAGGACTTAAGATCATTCTGCAGCCACCGTTACACAGCACGGCCTGGGCTGATGGAGGGCTTCAGATCATTCTGCAGCCGCCGTCACACAGCACGGCCTGGGCTGATGGAGGGCTTCAGATCATTCTGCAGCCACAGTCACACAGCACGGCCTGGGCTGATGGAGGACTTAAGATCATTCTGCTGTGTGGGGTCCTTCCCGAGACCTGCTCAGGGACAGTGCCCCAACCTCCTGTGACGATGAGGATAGCTTTGTGGGGACTGTCCCCTCCTTTTACATTTCCGATGTCAAAGGATCCTGCAAGCTCTCTGGAGCAGTCATCCCTGCCCAGGGCAGGGCACAGACTCCGGAGCACTGAGGACATGGCTGGCCCATCAGAACTGCTAACAGACAAACACTGCCACAGACACGTGCAAACCAAGTTGCCATGGCAGATGACCTGAGTGGCTCTTTGACTCATGACCTCCTGCCCACCCAAAACACCAGGTTGCTTTGGTAGATGTCCGGGACAGAGCCAGTGGACTCTTCCTGAGTGAAGAACTGAATCTCAAACTGACATTACCCTCTGATCCTTCTTGGAGTGCATTATGACCAGCTTGGGTGAAGCTGCCACCCAGCTATAAATGCGTCATTTTGACAGGATATTTGAGTCTCAGTGTCTAAGATCTAATGTGCTATTATAAAGTTCTGTGAACTATTGTACTATTGTACAAAGCTTTCTCAATGCAAGGGCCCATGGCTCTCCCCATCTCCCAGAATGGAGTTGATGGGGCAGTGAGGGCAGACCCAATAGAGGGATGGTGGGGACAGACCCTGTCCTTCTAGGTTTGCAGGCTGTGCTTCTGACCCTTGGCAAGTGCAGGAAGGGAAAGTCTGGGGCTTTGTATGAATGAAGGGCAAGAGAGGGACCACTGTCACACCTTGTCCTCAGTCACCCTCAGAAAGGACAAGCTGAGCCCAGAAAGACCACAGGATCAAACTCATCACTTCTGAGAACCAGTGAGATTTCTGACCAAGCTTGTACTTGAAGAGGGCAGAATGAGGCAAAAGCAAGCCCAGGGCCTCCTAAGGCTTCCTCTACACCAACGCTGGTTGCAGCAGTCAGTGTGGTTCACCCACTGACCACAGGGCACACAGAAGCCCTGTGCTCCTATTAGAATGAAGGACTTGAAAACATCTATGGGTTCCAGAAACCAGAGGGCTTTGAAACCCGAGACCTTACCCCTTTATCTGCAGGTCAAACTTGGGATTCTGCCCACCCAAGTTAGCCCTAGAACTCCTGGGTCAGTCCACGCAGACGTGAGGACAGCAGTGTCCTGATGTGGTGACAACATGGGGAGTGCATGCCTGAGCTCCTCTCCAGGAGGCAGGAGTGGCATCCCACATTACAGGGGCCCCTCCTCAGATGGGTGTGTAGGGGGGGGCTGTTAGCACTGACTCCATTGTCCCTCCCTTCCCGTCTGAGTAGAGGCAGGAGTGGCATCCCACATTACAGGGGCCCGTCCTCAGATGGGTGTGTGGGGGGGGGCTGTTAGCACTGACTCCATTGTCCCTCCCTTCCCATCTGAGTAGAGGCAGGCTGGCAGCTGCCCCAGGGACCGTCAGAGCTCATTGTGAAGAGGTCGGCACTGCGGTGTGAGCTTTTCCTCCAGGATCCCGTCAGGGGCACACACCCAGGGGTCATGCGTCTCCCACTGCCACTTAGTCAGCTGGGCTTTCAGCATCTCCAGCACTTGAGAGAAGTGTGGGTCAGCGGCCAGGTTCTGTGTCTCTCGAGGGTCCTGGCTGACATCGTAGAGTTCCCAGCGTTCCCGGTAGTAGTAATGGTGTAGATCCTTGTACCAGCCTGTGGGCTGGCCAGCTGTGGTTCGGTTCAAGAGGTCCTGGAAGGTCGGCGAGACATAGAAATCTTGGTCGATGGGAAATGGCATCTTGAAGCTGAGGTTGTGAATGAGGCGGAAGTTCTGGTGGTGTACCGAGCGCATGGGGTAGGACATGGTGACCTCGTGGTGGCTCTGGCTGCCGAAGACAGTGGTGGATGGTGAACCAACAGGGTCACATCAAGCAGGGAACAGCGCAAAACAGGCCTCGAGGCCCCATTAGCAATGTGAACTTTATTAGTCAGATCATGGGTGTGGAACTGAAGCTCTCTGCAGTTGTTTTGACGGCTTCTTCAGCAGCCCAGGTTGGCCCTGAGCTTTTGCTCCTCCTGCCTCAGCCTCCTGAGTGCCAGGATTACAGGTGTGTACACCATCATGCCCACCAGGAAGTTTTACAAAGGTCTGTGATTGGATGGCACCTGCTTCTTACGAATAATGCTCTCTTATCCACGGAGACCAAGGAACAACACTTGAGGGAGGGAGCCAATGGACACACATATCAGTATCCTACAGGAAGGACGATGTTGTATGTGCATGCAAAAGACAGAGGGGAGGCAAACAAGGGGACGGATTCCAGCAACACTTAACACGGAAATGGGAGGGAAGATGGGGAGTACTGTGTAGGGGAGAATATGAACCAAGCAAAATGAAAAGCCTGTATGATAAAAAACAATGGAAAACATTTGTTTCAGCTCAAAAACTCAAAAATAATTTTAAAAAAATGGAGCTAGTGTGAGACAAGATCAAAAGGAGGCCTAGGAAGGCTGGGCACCCTGATTGGGCAACCTGTAGTGCGTGCTGTGGGCCCGAGATGAGCAACCCAGGACACCCTGACTTAGAATTGACTGTTGTACACAGGACTGTTGATAATTTAAGAAATAGTTTCTTGGGGGTTTTTGTTTGTTTTTCAAGACACAGTTTCTCGGTGTGGTTCTGGCTGTACTGGAACTAGCTCCAGGACAGCCTGGCCTTGAACTCAAGAGACCCTGGGTTTAAAGGTGTGAACCTTTAATTTTTGTTTTTTGTGTAACTGTGCATGGACTGGTGGGAATTTGTGTGCAGCACAAACCCGCTGGAGCCACAGGAGCCAGAAGTCTGTTCAGGTCTTCTGGAGCTGGAGTTTGGGGGCAGCAGAATGTGAGAGTGGAAACTGAACCTGGATCCTCCCCAAGAACAGTGTTCAAGGGGACTGGAGAGATGGCTCAGAGGTTAACAGCACTGACTGACCTTTCAGGGGTCCTGAGTTCAAGTCCCAGCAACTATATGGTGGCTCACAACCACCTATAAGATCTGATGCCCTCTTCAGGCCTGAAGGCATATGCAGACTAAACACTGAATATATAATAAACACAAATTTAAAATGGAACAATATTCGCTCTTAGCCACTGACCATCTCACCAACCGTTTGTACATTGACTCTTCAGTTACCCTATTTCCTGAGCTTCTGCTTTTTAGAAATCCATTCCAACCTACACATTAAATTCTACAAATGAAGTGAAAGTGTATCAAATCTCGTGACATGTTCAAGGTCCTGGGTAGGCTTTTTAGCATCAAAAAAGAAAAAAAAAATCTAGAAACCACAGAGCGCGGGGGTGGAGAAGAGAAGAAAACTTTTTCACAACTGCACCCAGGCTCTGATCGCTGTCTCGGGATCCAGTCCCCTTGGGTGCGCAGCCTACCAGAGCGGTTACCTCGAGCTCTGGGTAGCTCAGCACCACCAGGGAAGCGCAGGCCCGGGAGCTCTCCCCGTTTACGAAGGACACGTCCAGGCCCCCGACCCTCTGCAGTCCCGAGAAAGTGGGGTCCCGCTGCCAGGCCTCCGTGTCCCGGGCCACCACGCGCGTCTTCAGCCGGGCTTGTTCCCTAGCGGGGCACAAACATCGAAACGGGCTCAGGGCCCTCGGGACAGCCCGACCCTCGGGGCGGCCGCCCTCCAGTCCACCCCAATCTCCTTTCTGCCCATCAAGCCAGGATGAAGGAGGAAAGCGCTCCACGACCCGACGTGCGGACCGGAAACGCAGGCCGCGCCCACAAAGGCAGGCGGCAACTTCCGGCAGCGTGGCGCTGCGTTGCAGCCGGGTGTTCGGTTTTACAGCTGCACAGGGGCTGTGAGGCCGGAAAGTCATTGGAGAAGCCACCCCCGTGCGGACCCCGACCCCATTACCGTTCCCAGAGCAACAGGGTTTCCTCCGGTGGCCGTGCTGCGGCCTCTAGCGCCATGGTTGGGCCCTATCGCCTTTCGTGACGTCACTTCCGGAGCGCCCCGCACGGACCGGTTAGTCGCCGCGTTTGTCGCGTCAGCTGTGGTGGCCGCCGCTAGGGGCCGCTGTCCCCGCAGCGCCGGCCGTCGAGGCGCCTCAGGCCGCTGTTCCCGCAGCGCCGGCCGTCGGGGCGCCTCAGGCCGCTGTCCCCGCAGCTCTGGCCGTCGGGGCGCCTCAGGCCGCTGTCCCCGCAGCTCTGGCCGTCGGGGCCCCTCAGGCCGCTGTCCCCGCAGCGCCGGCCGTCGAGGCGCCTCAGGCCGCTGTACCTACCGTGGTCGCCGCTCGCATGCTCGCTGCGCTCTCCGCGCCTCCGGCCTCCAGGCCAGCGTTGGCCGCACTCTGGCCGCGGTTCCTCTGCATCAGGTCCGCACTTGCGCCCGGGCACAGCTCACTGAGGAGACCACCTCTCTGTAACCTTTAGAGGAAAGGAAGAGGGGACACCTTTGCTGTAGATTCTCCCCAGCTATGTCGGCTGCAAGGCGCCCTCAGGCCGAAATAACAATTCAAAAGATCAAGGAACGCGAGGTTCTCTGGCCAGGGTGGCGCACACCTTTAATTCCAGCGCTGGGGAGGCAGAGGCAGGGGGGGTCTCTTGAGTTCAGACCAGCCTGGTTTACAGAGTTGAGTTCCAGGACAGCCAGGGCTACGCAGGGAAACCCTGTCTTGAAAAAACAAATTAAGTACATAAAACACTCTTGCAGACTGTCTGAGGGGAATGACTGCCCCATGGGGGAGGGAGCACCCAAATGCAAGTGTTTGACGCTGTTGTAGGGAACCACAGCGACAGGCATACGGGCGAGGGGGGCGGCTGAGCAGAACTATAACACTTGCAGTGGGGTAACCTGGGCTTTCTGGAGCCAAGGAATACCACAGAGTCACAATATACAACTAATCTCGCGTAAGAGATTTATTGGGAGGGGAAGAAAACCTCAGGAGGGCAGCTGCCTCTGCTCCAGTAAAAAGCAACAGAGATATGAGCAGAAGACAGGGTTTATAAGGGGTTTCTGGGGGCGTGGGAGGCTATCACGATTTTGGGATTGGTTGGATTTTTATTTTTATGTAGGGAGGGGCCTGGCCATTCTCTCTCTCTCCCCTAGAGGAGCTGGGAATGGTTGTAAGAGAAGTCTGGGGAGCAGGGCCTGACCTTTGGAGCTCCTCAGGCTCTTCCTCTGGAGGGGTCAGGGCAGAGCAGTTAGGGATGGAGCCTGGCCTCAGGAGGTCACTAGGGGCAGGGCTTACAGGGGTCTCTGAGAGCAGCAAGGGAAGCTGTCCTGTGCCAGAGTTGGCATAAATAGCTGACCCAGACCAGGGTGTGAATGGTCAGGGTTCTCTAGGGGAACAGAGCAGATAAAATGAAAATACACAAAGGAGATTCAGAACTGACCCTGGAGAGTGAGGGTTAGCAAGCAAACAGAATAGCTTCCTTCTTCTCTGTCCTTTTATGTAGGCTGTCACCAGAAGGTGTGGTCCAGATTTAGGGTGGTTCTCTGGACTTGGATAATCCAGTCAAGGAAATCTCTCACAGATCTCCCCAGCTGCCTGGGTTTTAGTTGATTCCAGATAGAGTCAAGATGAAAACCAAGAGTAGCCACCCCAGGGAGTCAACCCAAAACAAACCAAAATTGCCTAATGCCTGATGATTTGGTGCAGAGCTGTAGTTTTTCTATTCCTAACCTCACTTCTCTGCCCCATTAATTCTCCACGGGATGGGCACTTGAGGGTATAAGCTTCCTGTGTCTGGTACAGAGTCTTTCACCCAAATGCCCATTCTGTTGGTTCAGGACACGGAACCGTATGTAATGTGTGTCCCTCCCTCTTCATGATATGAGCTCAGCAGACTGGAGATTTTTACAGATTTATTTTTATTTGGGGAAGTCTGCCATGAGTGCAGGTGCCTGTGGAGTCCAAAGGAGCCAGAGCCTGGAGCTGGAGTCACAGGAGACTGAGCCTCCTGGCATGGGTGCTAGGACTTGAACTTGGGTCCTGTGAAACAGCAGTGCACACCTTAGTTCCTGAATCATCTCTCCGGCTCTGGACTGCAGTTTTGTTGGTTTTCCTTAAGACAAGTTAAAGAGCCTATGTAAGCAGGTGCCAGCTGGAAGGGCTGGGCTTGGGACTTCGTGCTTAGTTATGGTCTGGTGAACCTGAGCAAATCTAAGGCACTTCCTTTGGATATAGACGGTCCCTGTTTTATTTCGTAGGTCAGTGCTTCCTCATTGCTCTTTCTGCATTGTGGTAGATGCTGGCGATGAGCTGGAACAAGAAGATGGTAGGGCATTGCCGCTGTGCTGGTGTGCGGGACAATAGTAAATACACTCGGGAAGACTTGGAACTGGAGGTGGGGTGGCCTGTGTGAAGTGATACTTAGGGGACCTGAAGGTTGCCCCACTCCTCCATGGACTTGGGCATGGATTGTCATTTTCTTCAGTGGCATGGCCACTGTTAAGTTGCCCATGATTCAGTAAATAACCTCCCACCCCGTCTCATGCAAGCAGCCACACACAAAAGACACGGGCAAGTAGGAGACTTGTTGGGGAGACGGGTTTCAGTTGGGGAGGAAGGGATGAGAGAGGGTAGTGGGGGATGAGAGGACCAGAATTCATCAAAGGAGAGGGATTGAGTTTGGCAGGCAGGGGGGACAACAGGCACAAATGTCCCAGGGTAGGAGTGCGGTGGCGTGTGAGGCAGCAGCTGAGGTTGGGGTGACATGGGCTGACCGTCACCAGGGGAGTTCAGACGTGTACACCTAAGTCGTGTAGTCTGAAGATACCTTTCACGAGGGAAATAGAAAAGCCGAGGTTAGACCAAACTTGAGTCTGTGATTGGGGAAAGGCTTCCTCTAACACAACTGGCAGGACCTTGAAAGCAGTTTCCAGGGGAGAGAAAGCCCGGTTCCTCCAGACTCACTGAGCGCAGGCACTATGCTTTATTTACCCGCCCTGTCTTCTCTTCCCACAGAACAGAAGGCGTTTTGCAGAGGCGGAAGCTGCAGGGTGGAGAGGTCAAGTGGCAGGCCTGTCGTCATGGAGCTGGCAGGCCGGAGGGCCAGCACCGGTACCCAGGTACGCCAGCCTGACTTTGTTAGAGTGGCCGGGGAAAGCATTTGGTGTTTGGGAGCCACCCTTGCCAGGGGAGATGGGGCAGCAGCTGTGGGTTCTGCGGAGGTCGTGGCTGAGGTGCTGACTGAAAGGAGCACCGATCTGGGTCCCTCAACCTGGGAAGGAAGCCCAGCAGGAGCAGCCCGAGCAGGGGACCACTGTAGGGGCTGCGCCCCGTCCCCCACTCCGCTGTAGGGACTGCGCCCTGCTTCCCCCACCCCCCCACTGTAGAGGCTGCGCTCCGTTGTCCCGTTACCCGCCCCCCACACACTCTAGCTCAGATGAAACACTAGTGTGCTGTGCAGCGTGCCTACAGAGAGGGTGTGAGTTGCCAGTGTTGCTGTCTGGAGAAAGGCGCATTCCTCGTGCTCCTTTTCTAGTTGTGTGTGGATCCTGAATGCTCACGCCCAGGTTGACTTAGCAAGCTGAGGGAGCAGAAAGTGCAGAATGCAGTACACATGTTATTCTCTGCCTGCTTGGTATAGAACCAGGGCCTTGCGTCTCCTGCCCACTGAGCACCCCTCTGGGCGCAGCTGCTTCTGCAGCCTGACCTTCAACACTTTATCCACCTGTTGTGGAGCTGTTCCCTCCTAACTGAACACTGGCTCCTGAAGGGCACTGGGGGCTCAGGGGAAACCCACTGGGCTCTTAAAGCACACAGAGTCCCAAGACCTATAGACTTGTCCCCGAGGTTATATATGCAATTGCTGGGGGAGCAGACACTTGTACAGACAGCTGTGAGCCTTGGGGTGCAGGGCTTTGATACCTTGTTACTCAAGCCCGGCTGAGCATTTCAGTGATGCAACCTGAGTCACCCATGTGTCTGTCCCTAAGGTAGACATGTTGCAGTAATTTCTGTGGTCTTTTCTCAGTGTCTCTTCTGGGGTGAATAGATATTTGCTCACGTCTGTCCAGGGCCACATGAGAGATGTTCTGATTCAGGATGTTTCTGTAAATGTGTTGCTTTTATTAGCTAATGAATAAAGCTGTTTCAGCCAATGGCTTAGCAGAGTAACGTCAGATGGGAAATCTTAAGAGATATATATAGAGAGAAAGTAGGCAGAGTCAAAGAGATGCCATATAGCAGCCTAAGTAGAAGGATGCTTGAACCTTACTGGTAGGCCATCATGGCAATACATAGCTGAATGGAAACGGGTTGATTTAAGATTAACTAGCTAGGAATTAAGACTAAATGGCTAGGATATTAACTAGCTAGCTACAAATACACTTGAACCATTGGCCAAGCACTGTTGTAATTGATATAGTTTCTGTGTATTTATTTGGTCTGGGCAGTCGGGAAATCAATGACTAGTCTCCATTTACAGTGTTGCTACTCATCCACTGGTGGGCTGGGGACACCCAGACTTGGGTCACTCGAGTCCTCTTCAAGGTGAGAACACTGGAATTTTCTCTTAGCTGAAGTAGCTCATGGCTATTTCAGTTAACAAATGGCAAATCTTAGCCTGGCTTAGGGAAGGCACAGAGTCTGAATTCCTGCTTGTCTTTTCCTGTCCATATTTGCTATTCCCGATGGATCTTCCTCATCCAAAGCCCGATTCATTGAAGTCAGGGCTCATCTCCATTTCTGGGAGCTGTCCAGTGAGGTTTCCTCTAGCAGAATGCTCTGAGACCAGAACAGCAGTGCGGTCTCTGCCATAAACTGGAGTCCTGCAGTCCTTTTACTCCGAGGAAAAAATATCACCCCATGTCCTAGACTGTAGGTTTTCTGTTCTGAACCCTACTGGATACTACAGCAGGGGAAATTCACAGAAACCCAAAACCATTTCTAAAAGCCTGGCTAAGGTCTGTGTGCTGTAGATGTAAACTCTGCCATCAGGAATTGAAACATTCAAAAATTAATTTGTGTGTGTGTGTGTGTGTGTGTGTGTGTGTGTACACGTGTGTATACT